AAAAAAAAAAAAAAAAGCACATGCTGAAACAAACTATGATGGATACGGATGTAACTGAAGACAAATTATGACTGAAAAAGGTTCCTTTACTTCTCAGAGAAAAATCAATAAAATATATTTCCCCTTATATTTGCTTCATCAATTTATAGAACCCTTTTTTTTCTCCTGAGGTAGGGTATAAACTATGCAAAACCATGTATATTTCATCTTATGGATTTGAATCTTCACATATTTGCATTGTGATTTAACCGTCTCACAATATCTCTTTACATTTCGAATGATAGGGGAGGATAATCATAGACAAACGGAGTACAAGTCCAAGACCACCAGAGCTGACAAATGGGTGACATCATTCTTCAGCAGAGCGACCTCCCTCACAGTTCTGTGGTGTTGCTAGGCAACCCAACTGAGACAGGGACTGAGGGAAAAGAAGGGGAAAGAAAAAACGAGAGAAAGACAAGAGAGGGCAGTTGAGGGGAGGAGGGGTGGTCACTTACCAGGCATCTGTCCATTCATCTGGTTCTGCATGTGTGGGGCTGGAGGGCCACCACTGACCATACCCTCAGAGGGCATGTTGTGACCGTGAGGAGGCTGAGGGGGGGGTCCACTTTGGTTCATCCCGCCAGGGCCCATGGGCATGTTTTGAGTGGGTGGCTGCAGGCGCACAACACAGACACAAAAATGCACATCAGCTGGCTACAAACACATCTGAGTCTGAGCCACTTAAAAGAAAAAAAAAACTTAAAAAAAAAAAACTTAAAAAGGCAGATTAACGCAGAGATTTCTGTACAAAATATTATAATAAAGTGTAACTGTGATGCACCTTAATCAATCAAGGATAAAACATTTTTTAAAGATAATGTATATTTAAAAAAGGGAAACAGCCAAGCAGTACAATATTTAGTCATAATCACTGAATAAATTGTCCTCAAAGTCACAGCCGGGGACTGTCAATGACTGAAAAAGGTTTTGCACAAAGTCATAACAAATTGAACAGATACCACTATTACTTAATTAATAGTAAGTAGTATAGTTCAATCGAATCTACTGCAGATTTACATATAATATGATGGTGTGATACTTTTAAAGCAATGGGCTTACAAGCAAACACAAATATATACCTTTTACAAAATTAAGTGCACAGAACACCTTCATACTGGTGGTGCATCCATTATGAACATCTACAAAAGGTCACAAAGTAACACTGATACTTTAAGTACTCCAGTTCTGCACTTCACATAACCTTAGTGACATCACTGGGGTCATTTTTTATTTGGAAAGCTCAAACACACAAGACATGATACAACGTTTCCTCAGGCAGTAGTATTACTTGTGACAAGTAAATTAATATTAATGTGCTTAAATGGTGGAGTTCCCTCTCATACAAGAGTGAGGTTTGACTGGATTTGACACAAAAAGAAAGTTAAGACATTACACAATTGCAATTAATCTGTCCAGATTCTATATAATATCCAGTGGAAGTAATTATACATTTGAAATGGCACATGTCGGGCAGATTATTAGTGTAACATGATCATTTCATAGTTAATCTGATATTGCACTATTACCTTTACATATACGTGTCCTGAGTTTTGTCTCATAAGTTACCAGAACCAATACACAAGTGACTTGTATGGGACATTAACTAAAATAGGAGCTCAACATTACCTCATTTATATATACACAATTCACTCATACAAAACAATCAGCAAGGACCAATACTTACAGCAGGGAGGAGAGACTGCATGTTCTGGTTGGAGTCTGCTATCGTCGCCAGGTACACTAAATTTCTGTGCAGCATCTGCTGATACCTGGGCAGGTGAGAAAGTAACCAATGCAGGTGTTCAGTTAATGGGAACTTCACAGAAAATAACTGTATGGTAAAGCAACAAGAGATTTGGTATAACCTACTGTGAACATTCTGCTGTTTTGCCTTTACTCTGGAAGTCCATTATACACTGGATCAGCTGGTTGTTTTCGTCAAGTAACTGCGAAAGTAAATGCAGAGATTTATATCACGTGTTTTTCATATCTGTGATCACACACAATTTAAAAACAGCGACACTCGATCGTTTGGAAGGGTTTGTGCGTTTCTTTGTGGTTGGTATTCTGCAGTAATTTGGACACAACGAGGAGGATGGGGGGGGGGCGTTTTTGTGAAATGTGAGCGTGCGTTTCTAGCTAACAAAAGACGCGTCTCGCTAGCTAGCTGTCCTTAGCTAACAAAAACGGCAGGCCTCCATTCAAATGAGCCACAATTATACGTTAGTCCGCTAAATCGACCTAAGCTCCATCGACTACACATGGCGCCCTGACTCCAGAGAGGTTCATATTCACCGCGCTTTGACCCTGCGAGATTGTTCCTATTCACTGTGCGACTTGGATGGGCACTGCTACATTGATTAGCTCAACGCTTAGCAGCGTCTGATGCCGTAGCCTCCATTCTGAGACGCGCTAAAAAGATGAATTACCTTTTGTATTCCAGCGGGTGTTATATCACCCTTCCCACGCTGCCTGTGAGCTGCAAACGCCACCGACATGGTGATACTCTGTGAAATGAAAGTGAACTAGAGCATAAAAGTCAAAAGTAGCCAACACACTTAACAAATCGGTAGAACTCAGATCAAACTGTTCAGAGTAGGATGCAATTTCGTAATGCGATGGTCCGTTCTGGGGGGGGAGTACGGCACATTTGAAAACATAAATGATCATTGTTATTTATTTCGATTACACAGGGTTACGTGATATTCAAATTGAATTAATGTAAATTATAAAATTCCAAGATATCTAATTAAATAGTTTAAAGAACCCGTATTTTGTCTTCAAGGAATTATAATGTCACCTATTTTTCATATAGTGGAACAGTCTAGGTCGACTTTAAAAAGGCCACGGGAAATGGACCGCTCAACAAAAAGGGGAACACAGCTTTAATATATTCTGTATGAAATGCAAATAGTAATGCAGGGAGTTTCATCCAATGATAACTGATAACAATGTTTAGTAATCCTCGTTTTATATGCTTAAGTTTTCCCACATTGCAACCTAATTCACATTGCCAAACCATCACTAAATTAAATTAAGTGACTAAATTAAATGTACTATTTTATATTAAACTTGGGCCTTTTTTGTATTGTAACTGTCAAATTAAGAATATAGATTTCGCAGAGCAAACACGCAAATCAAATAGTGAGTCTTAACCACAACTTTTCTTCTGACTGACCCTAATTTTGGTATCGCCCAGTTCAGAGGTCATGCGCATGCGCTGTTTTCAACATACGGCAGCTTCCCATACTGAGCGTCTCGTTGCTAACTAGCTGAATCATTGGTTGAAGTCTCCCCTTTTCTTGTGATTGTACGTGTATTGCAGTGCAATGGCGGCAAGATATGACAGAGCTATTACTGTCTTTTCTCCCGATGGTCATCTCTTTCAAGTGGAGTACGCACAAGAGGCTGTAAAGAAAGGATCCACGGCGGTAAGTCCTATAATCAAACCAACGCTAACGTTAGCAAACGTCAGTTAGCCAACTAGCTAAGCTAACGACTAGCAGGAACTCTTTTTACTCATGTATTTTACTAATTTTGTAAGATCTCAGTACACTCAGGCGTTGAGATTTTTTTTACCACTTTGTTCGACTGCTAATCTGTACCTTCTGCATGTAGTACAATGAACATTAAAAGGTATTGAACATGCTGAAAGAGTATCACTAGCAAACGTTTTGTCGCTGTGTCACTCTCACAACAGTTTCAGTTTCAATGTGATAAGGCCAGCTAGCGCTATTTCATACAAACGATATTTGGTTGTTGGCAAAGTTCAGCTGTGCTCCAGCAATTGCACAAACAATGAGATTGTAGTATAGACGCAGAGTTAATTTAGCGTTAACGCATTAAGCCACTGTAGTTGTAGATAGCTTACCTACAGATCACGTCTGTTGTTCTAACTGTAAATTGGTAGCACATATAACACCATCACTCCACATTAGTACTGTTCGTCAGCCCCTGCGAGTGTACTGCTTCGTATTGACTTAATTGAGATGTTTTTTTTCCCGTACAGGTGGGAATCAGAGGGAAAGACATTGTTGTCCTCGGCGTTGAGAAGAAATCTGTAGCGAAGTTGCAGGAGGAGAGGACTGTCCGTAAGATATGTGCCCTGGACGAGCATGTCTGCATGGCATTTGCAGGTACTTCAAACAACACAACTTTTTCAATAATTGAATAATCACTATGTAAAATGGCATAAGTAGGCTAAAATCCGTTGTCACAAACACTAAGTATTTGCAGATATCTATACCATATATTAGGTTTTTCTCACTTGAATGTCCTTGTGTTGTTGTTTTTTTTACCTGTATGTTGCATAATTAAACCATGTTCAATGTTTTTCAGGTTTGACAGCAGATGCTCGCATCGTGATAAACAGAGCGCGTGTTGAGTGCCAGAGCCACAGGCTAACTGTTGAGGACCCGGTCACAGTGGAATACATCACACGCTACATAGCTACACTGAAACAGGTACTTAATCTTCTTACCATATATTTACTGTATGGTACTGTGGGCAAGAACATAAGATTGTTTGTTTTTTACAATTTTTGTGCTCTAGTAATAGTCACAAAATATTTCTAAGAATGAAAAGTCAGTCTATATATCTGTCATATTTGTAGCGCTACACTCAAAGCAATGGGCGCAGACCATTTGGCATCTCCGCGTTAATTGTTGGTTTTGACTACGATGGGACTCCCAGGCTGTATCAGACAGACCCATCAGGAACCTACCATGCCTGGAAGGTGAGTGAGTTTATTCCTTTTACCTGTCTTTGTACCTTGTTAGTATGAAATGTATTTAATATTTTAATTTTGTGTTATTCCATCAACAAAAATAGGCAAATGCAATTGGCCGTAGTGCAAAAACCGTGAGGGAGTTCCTGGAGAAGAATTACACAGATGAAGCCATTGCTGGGGACAACGAGGCAATCAAGTTGGCTATCAAAGCTTTGCTTGAGGTAAGGGCAAATTGAGTCTTTGCATTGACCCATTTTAAATTGCACACTTTGTCATAAGCTATATATATTGAAACTGAATAATTACTAAACTTCTTCACAATAAATATTTCATTTTAAAGGCCAAGAAATTGCAAAAGGAAAATGTATGTCAAAAGAATTTACATTTGCCATGGCTTGAACTGAATACAATCCTGAGACAGTCCTGACTTTATCAAAGGACCAGTGTGTAAGAACTCACAAACACCCTTATCTAGACCCAGAGTTTGGTTTGTCCTCTCTGGGCATCTGTAGAAACATAGCAGCCTCTGTAGGAGAGGACCTACCATTTAAATATTATATTCCATTTCTGACAATAGAGCCTCCTAAATGTTACACGCTGGCCCTTTTAATGAAACTAATTAAATAAATGCTTTCAGCAGAATGAAATTTAGTCATGCATGTGTATTGTTACATTCAGTGATATGTTTTTTTAAATGGTCCTTAAACTGTTAATCAGCTGCAAATTCCTGCTGAATTAGGCATAGCCTCTCATCATGAACCTGAGTCGGAGGCTGCAGTAGTTCATATATGCTGATATGTATCTGTTTCCTCACAGGTTGTCCAGTCAGGAGGAAAAAATATTGAACTTGCTGTTATCAGACGGAATCAGCCACTGAAGGTGATTTGCTGCAGATTGTGTTTGGCCTTTTGTGTTCACCTTTTAATTTATTTAAAGGCTAATAATTGGTTTCCTTGGCCATTTGCAGATTTTGGAATCCAAGGAAATTGAGACCCTGGTGGCTGAGATTGAGAAGGAAAAGGAGGAAGAGGCAGAGAAGAAGAAGCAGAAAAAATCCACTTGAAGCAGTTAACATAGTTTTCTTTATTGCACTTGGATGACAATAGCATATTTGGGTTGCAAATATTTGACCATTTTAGAGAGTTTACTTCTCTCATTTATTTCATTATTAAGAGCTAAATCATAACTTGAGATCTGTTGATGTTGTTCAAAGGCTTTGAAAATGTTTCTGAGTGATACTGTACCATTTGCAAAGAATCTCTAGTTCCTGTGCTTACAGCTATTGAGTTGACAGCGGTTTAAAAAGATATGCGTAGATCTCAAGTTAGGGTTTATATCTTAAACTATGCTTACAGGAAGTTTTTATATCATTCACGAAACAGCTCTGATGGTTATGAATCTCAAATGTTGAAATAAACTGTTTGCAACATTCAGAAACATAATGAAACAATACTCAATAAAAGCTGACTTGTTTGTAACATGTTTTTATTTTATTTGTAAAACTAGGTTAAAACTGTCTTTTATGCCAACTGGCTTTACTAGATGGTGTCTATGCAGAAGTACTATGAGTAATATTGTTTTTAGTAGCGGTGCACTGACTGGTTTCTTAAAAGATGAGAGTAAAGGGACTTAAAAAAACCGCAGAGGAGGGTTCCAACCTTTTTTTTTTGTACTCCACTCTTTATTGATTATCCTACTGCAAAGCAAGAACTGCGATAAAGATAACTACAGTTTAAAACACCACTAGCGGCAGTATAGTGTGTGGCTATAAAGTGCAATGGTTTTCATTTATCAGCATTCTGTCGCACAAACCTGGAAAAAAGAAGGTATCTCTGATTGCTTTATAAAGTGCTCACCTCTCCCTCAGTCATTTAAAACAAATTAGTGATGAGCGAACGTAGTGTCTAATGGTGGCCCAGCGAGACCCCTTTTTGCCTCTCCTTTTTTATTTCACCCTAAATTCGCTTATCAAGCAACCGCTGCTCTGAATTCTCAACGACACAATTATGGCCGGCGGTGTGGTAGGGCTGCTTAATGGGATCCTGGCCTCAGACCCCAGTGGGAACTTTCAGTGACTTTAATCTGGAGCCCTTTGAAAAGTTGTGCCGTGCTGTGCTGAAGAGCCCCGGGGGTTCCCTCTGACTCTCACCAAAGACATAATGGTGAATGGTAAAGTCCTTCATTTAGAGTCATCTCCCCAAGCCAGGATTTCCTGAGTGGGTGCCCTGGCTGCCTTGACTAGAGCAATTGCACTTTGTCTGCAATTTGTCTTGTTTGTGAGTCTTATAGGTTGGTGTCTGGGCCGATGTCAGAGGATCAATTAAGCCTGTGATGTTACCTCATACATAATGTCATTAAATCCTAGGAGGCAATAAAAAATGGGGTTTGTATGACTCACTCAGCCATTTCATCCATACACTAATTGCCACATACGAATGTATTTCAAGTCAGTTTGAGAAGATGCTGTCACCCACTGGTATGTTGATGCTCAGTTGCAAACAGAGGTGTTGAATCCTTCGGATGACAAAACACACTGTAGGTTAACTTTGTTAAAGTTTATTCTGGGTAATCCCGTAGCTACAGAGGTTATCTGATCCATCTTGTCAATAGAGTAAGAGCAGCTTATTCGGTGCTGCCGACAAGACTCCCAGTCTTTTGAACTGCTTGTGGGAAGAGTTTTCTTTTTCTTTCTTTCTTTCTTTCTTTTTTTCTTTTTTGCCAGCATTGTTGTTGCCCATAATCAGCGCTACTGTGCCCCAGGCCAAAGTCCATCTCTCTCATCGCTGGCTGCTGCTCATCATTAATGCAGAAAATAATGGCTTCACCAGAGGTCATCGACAGAGGAACGAGGCCCGAGGACATGTACTCTCCAAGCAAGAATGCAC